CCTCCTATGATTAATGTAAGATTCATCATGAGTGGTGTTGCCATACATCCCGATACATCGGGACAGTCACCGTTATTGAGCTCTCTGTCCCGACATTCTGACAAAATACAAAAATGTGCCGATTAAGACAACGCAACTGTTTTGACACAGATGATTTCATTACACTTTCTTCTTATCATTAAGTACTAACTTGTGACTATTAAGTACCTATTGTTTTGAGACTATTTAAAAAAAATTGAACGAAACCTTGGTCGCTTTGTATTCGGATTGGCACTTGGGACCGTTAATTTTTTTTAGGAATCCAAGTACCTACGAAGTTCTAAGTCTAGGGATTTCATATTTAGATACACACATTCATTAACTTTAATTAAATATCAATTCTTTATTTGTTTTATAATGTTGAGTTTTAAAAATAATTAAGGTTAAGCGGTTGGGAAATTTCCGATTTATATAAAATTTCACATAAAATGTAATTTGCGTTCTTAATATAAGTAAGTAGTAACTAAATCATAATTGCCATTTAATAAGAGGAATGTACGGATCCTAATACAACTTCTTATAATATAATTTATTATAACATTAACGCCTATTGTCTAGTCATCTCTTGTTTACTAGAAGCAAAAAGTAGGTATCCTATATTGTTCTGTTATCTTTAGACTGTAGAGTATTTTATTTCAATCAGGCATCGAACCTATTCGTTGTATCTTGGCGAAGTAGGTGAAGTAAGATTGTGAGCCTGGAATTAGTTTCGCTTGTCACATAAACTTTGGCTAGAAACTCGGTGAGACCAATAAATAAATCGGCTAAGAGGCTTAATAGGTAATATCCTCTGGGTTGTTCCAGCACATCGCCTTCCGTAGAGAGGGACATCGGAGGGTTCTGGTGGGTATGCCTCTGTACTTTAACTAGGCCTCCGTTCCGATGGCGGATCAGTAGAGGAGAGCGGGTATGCAGTAATGCAAATCCCAAAAAACAGTTCGTCAAAAAAGATTTTCCCAGATAGACTTATAAGGTAAACAATATTATTCTTTATTTTTTTATTTTAAAACGTCAATTTTAAATTATTGAGTGTGCTAGTCTCATTTAAATGCAATGAGATTTTGTTCTTTTTTCTGTTACGCTGTATGTATAATTTTAATATCATCTATACTAATATTATAAAGCTGAAGAGTTTGTTTGTTTGTTTGAACGCGCTAAACTCAGGAACTACTGGTTCGAATTGAAAAAATATTTTTGTGTTGAATAGATCATTTATCGAGGAAGGTTTTAGGCTATAAAACATCACTATTAGGAGCGAAGAAATAATAGAAAACGCGGACGAAGTCGCTGGCGGCCACTAGTCTTTTATAATCTAAATGAAAAATGCTTAAAAATTGCACTTGATCCTTGTCACCCTGAGATGGTATTCGAACCCATGACCTTTCGCAATCCAGTAGATTCATATAACCAGTGACTTTACAGGACTGATGAATCTTTTAAGCACTTGTTACTTTTTCATTACTACAGAGCGTATTCTCATCAATGTTCAGGCAATCTACCTAAATAGCAGAAAGAAATATTTTTAAATTATTGAAACTTTCGATAAAGATGAGAATGAAAAAGGTTTTTTTCAGTATAGCATTGTGAATGCGAAATTGATCAAATACAATAGCCATCTTTTATATTTTCTAGTCGTCAGTGTAAAGTGCAAAACATGTATTATGTAATAGCTTTTAGCTTAGGTATATCAGACAAACTTTTTAGACTTTTAAGTAACATCTGTCATAGGTCAATCTTACATCAGATCAAATAAGAAAGTAACAGTTAATAACATTGTTTAGAAGTTACGTTAAGTTGCTTTCCATAAAACTACATCTATATTTTATATATAGGCTCATAGCATATCTGTTATATAGAGCCTATCAATTTTTCATTACAATCATATCGATGCATAAGTAAATTACAATTTGTGCTCTGGAAAAACGATTTTCGTTTGCATTATCATCATGAGAATGGAGATTAAGATTATATTCAAATAGCCTAGCTTAAGTTCGGTTTCGATATATGTAATTTGAAAGACTACAATATAATATTAATAATTCAAAAATATGTTCGATTCTTCTTTTCCAAGCCAAATGAAGTCTAAATATAAGATTTAGATGTAATTTACAGACTTCAACCTCGATTGAATCATAGGTTGTTTTTTCTCCAAAAAACCAGTACTCCAAGTAACCAAAGTAGTTATAAGAAAAAGGCGGCATCCAAAGAATTTACAAAGCGTTGTCGTCGTGCTATGGAAATGAACGTGAGATTGAAATCGCACGATGCCTATCGCCCGATGCCTTACTGACTGGTACTCGCGTACATATGGCTGCCCATAAGTGAAAAAGATTCGGTATCCCATCAAAAAGGACAGCATGATTTTAAATGCACAACCAGATCAATACCGAAAGAAAATAACGAAAATGAAACAGATAGGTTGTTCTCTTAAGTGATGTCTCGTAGTTACATTTTCTAATATAAAACTCATAGGTTTGTAGTTGCGTGATCAATTGCGATTTAAAATACGATTTAAGTATATCTTCTATTATATGATCGCACGATCATTTGATCATATAATTGTTATTATGGGTTTCATAGGGTTACGCGGTGATTTCTGGGCTTTATTTACGAGAGAGAGAAGAAGATTTATGTGTTCAATTTCTCGTCGTACGACGAAATGGCATCGTTTGTGCCTACGATCGCAACTTATTAGGACACTATAGTTTAGTGATTTAGGGCCCATCCATAAATTACATACATTGTGTAATGGGAGTAAATAAATTTAGTGACGTTACATTTCAAAATCTATTATAATCTAAGTAAGTGTTAAAACACGAACTTTAAACATTTTGCGTCATACAAAGCCACTAATCAACACAAATAATTACATAAGAGGCAACAAGAAGTTTTACCTATCGCGAAGTTTCGTCTTCAAAGAATTGCTGCTAGACATGCCAAAGAACTTCTTTGTGGGGATGATGACGATGATGCTGAATGGCTAGATGAAAAAGATATCGATAAATGTTCCTGACATTAACAACCCAAATGTGAACGATGTGGCTGGTATGCCAGTTATAAATAATTTAAAAGAGTAGGTTCAAAATCCATGGACTCGAGATTATTTAGTTTTTATCTCTAAATATATTCTATTAATATTTTTGTATTGTTAATTTCTTTAATTGATGTAGTCAATTGGTTTTTTAAATATAAGATTTGATGTTAATATTATAAAATATATATATATATATAAATTGAAATAAACTTTAAAAAAAATACTGATTTCGGAACTGCTGTTTTCATTTAATAAATTTTCAAAATGTCTCACAAATGTGACCAGACTGTGATAAATAGATAACTTTATTTATAAAAACTTAATAAGAAACAATTTGAGTAGCACCAGTTTTATTATAATGATGCTCACCATTTCTCATCCTATTTATTATCAAACGGGAATTTCAATATGCGTGACATATAGCGTGCTCTTTTTGATAAATACAGTTACCTACATGACGGCCTGAATAGAAATATATTTTATTCTTCGAATGGTTTTAAGTAATAGTCGAAAGTATTTATCGTCATCAACCGATCATCGACTCAATCGATTGTTTTTTTTTTATTATTGACTTGTACTTTTTATTCGATGACAAAAATAGTTTATCATAGTGTGATTCACGGGTGCCTGTAACAGCGTAACCTAAATAAATGAATGAACAAATTATAATTATTATAATTACTGATGTATACCATACAATCGAAACTTTTTAATTTGAAATTTTTAAGAGGTAATGAATGAATAATTGTTTATTGTAGTTAAAAACCAATAACAAGAGAAGAATAATACAAAGAACAAATAGTACAAGTACTTATCGCTAAGAATGAAATGAATGAATGAATGAATTTCTTCTTAGCAAACTAGAAAAATAAACTTATTTAAACTTACATGGTCATTACACGGAATTACAACGTCATCATGGCGCTTGTAACAACGCCAAAATATTGGGAACTGAACAAGAACAAGATGCATTGAAGCAATCCCATTATTAGCAATCATTATGATTATAATTTTAATTATTCTACTACAACTATTATAATAGAATTTATTTGAAGTTATAAACAAAGAGAAAAAGGTCGTCATTTCCAGCTATATATGATGAAGTGATCTATTCTAAAATTACATCAAGGTAACTCTAGGAATTAAATAAATCCATTTACATATATTCAAGTTTTCCGCCAGCGCTTTCGCCCGCGAGGATTTGTGTTATAGATGTAAATTTAAGTTAAAAAGATCTCAGCGTAAACATAACAGGAACTGACTTTGTTTTGCACCATGGCATAGATACTGGTAGTCGTAGTCGTAAAGACGCTTTATACATTGTTATAGCATACATATATCATAGGCCTGAAATGTTTTTGGATAGTGATTATACGAGGTATGAGGACAGTGCCTCCAGTCGTAATCGCTCTTGTGTTGAAGAGAACTAATGTAAAAAATTAAAAAAAAAATGTATAACAATATAATAATAAGGTGACGTATAATATAATACGCTGGTTTTCAGTATATATGAAACAAAATAGGGAAAAATTGCCTTTACCGAGTTTCTTACCGGCTCTTTTCGATACGAAAGCTCCCGCTGTGATTTTACAGAGCGATGATTGCATATGAATAATATTATGTACTTAATAACAGCCAGGAATAAATAAATTATTTTTATTTATGTTTAAAAGTTTAAAACTGGATTAACATTACGAGGTTTTATCGCTAGGTATAAAACTGAAGGGATACGTGACTGCGGAAGCATTGCGGTTAACAAACAGCAGTGCGGTCTAATTTTGCAAAAATTCCGCACTTAATGAAGTCCCATTTGATTAGAGGCCTATGCAACCGCGAAACAAACAAATCGGTATTGTTTCCAATGTTGGAATTCGTTGAATCATAGTCTAAGTCTTCGTACCGGTTCTAAGTGCGTGCGCGCAGGTCAGAAAGAAAAGGAGCGCGCGAAGCCCGCGTTCTTCAGTCTCGCCAGGGTCGCCACAGGGGTCGGACCGATATCTAGTCATTAAATATATATATTTTTTATTAACCGCAATCAAAAGGTCATCATGAAAGTGTTCATCGTTTTGGCAGCAGCCACCGCTTTAGCGAGTAAGTATTTTCTATTTTTACTATCACAAAAAGTATATTATCAAATTTTGATTATTAACATTAGAAGTGTTCGATTTATATCAATTAAAAGCCTTTTTATACTAGTAAATTAATTATTTAATCTTTAGAGTTATTGATAGATATCATGGATATAAAAGACATCAACGCAGTACATTTCATATTGGCGTAAACGTATAATGCTATTTGGTTTTTAAGTAGGTATATTTTATTTTGTATTGAGTATGAAATAAACAAAAGGATTTTTTTTAACTCTCTTTAACTTTATTTATCAGCTTAGAATGGAGCTGTTGCTTCATTAGTTGAAATACTATGTTTTCAGTTAACTTTGTATGTCAAATAAATCAATCGATAAAGTCTCAAAGTAGGTCTCAGTTTATGTAACTAAGCTCAATAACAGTTATGTGACAGCCCCTCACACTTCGACATCTTAGTTGCGAAAGTATTATAAGTTATAAAACTTATGCTGCGACCGGATAGATCAAGCCACCAACTCTCCATTCATTATAATGTATTTGGCAACATTTGACATTTCCGTAACCTAAAGAGAAGCGAACCGAACATCTTGGTTTTAAATTTATGTATTCTGTATTTGATATTTGCTGAGTTTTTGAACAATAATTAAGACTAATTGTTTTTCAAATTCTGATTTTAAATTAATCTTAACATCAGATTAAAATTTCATTAGTTGTACAATCGCAACTTCAAATTACTGTCTGTCTGTTTCGCTTTCAAGACGAAAGTGTTGGGCCGATTATAACTATTAAGTTTAGTTAAAAGTTAATTTGAGGCGTGAATATGAAAAATATAATAGATAAAAGAATAAGGTTAATTTATTTTATACAAAATTTCGAAAATTCGTTGAGAAGCCATGCAAAACCTTTATTACCTTTGGAAGAAGGTTTTATTTCGCTCTGTATTTTACCAAAATATAATTTCTATGCGTGGCAGTTAAAGATTCGGTGAAATAAAAGATTTCATTACTGTATAAAATTATACTTTAATTGTAATATCATGATGCAACATGCACGCTAAATATACATAATAAATATGACAAAATAATTTTATCATGAATATTGAAACTTGAAAAGTTCATTGATTCAAGTATAATATTCATATGACATGGCGTAAAAAATACACTTCTAATTAAAAAATTCAGAACTGTTTTTTTTTATTTCTTTTTATCGTGGAGTGCCTATTGTTATTTATTAATTTGTGTGTCTGGGTCAATTGGTAAATTATCAGTTAATGTACTTTTTTCGCTGTAACTTGGACCTCGTATTCTGAAAAGCTAGAAATGTATATATATATATATATATATTATCTTACAATGCATCTATATCTTATTTCCTAGCAACCTAATGATTAATATTTCAGTTAACTAACGTGAGAAATTTATCAAACAGTTACTATTGTACTATACAAGCAATTCAATCGAATTAGTAGATTGTTATTTCATACAAATATCGATGCGATGCGATGCGAAGTCATAAAAATGAAAAAAAAACTGATTATAAATAAAGATTGTATTTATGGACTAAATAATTAATTGTATTAGGTTCTACTCTACAATCTCATTTTCGTGATCGAGTGGTTCGCAAGCCGGTTCCTTGAAAACCATCTATTAGATCGATTCTCAGCCTAGTCAATATAGAATATATTTTTCTTTATTATTTCTAGTCTTGTATTTACCTTCATTGTTTTAGGTAATCCTTAATACAATATATATTATTTCCATATTTATTTGTAGTGTGTTAATTTATTTCAAAGTAAAGATAACAAAAATTTATGAATTTACTCTTTTCTAGCAATGATTTGTTTCATTAACAATATTATGTGTTATAATCACATTTAAGGTAAATGAAAATTTTATGTAAATGAATTTTAAACTGTCGATTTCAATGCGTTTAGATAATAGCGCTGTCAAATTGTAAAGTTTAAAAGTGATTTTCCCATTATTAACTTTATGAAAAAAAAATACGTTGCGATATTCATTTTGAAGGAGGAAATAAATTGAAAACTCATGTTATTTACTTAACATCTCTTTATCGTATTTATGAGGACTACTTCAAGATACTCTTTTATGAAATTTATATGAGAAAACTGTATGTATTTTTATAACATTTGTATACTTATGTATCTTCGAAAGTTTTAATTTTATATTATACTTGTAATTTTTGATACGAACTAATAATACTGCAGCTTATCTTCATAAACCTCTGTATTAAATTTGGATAGATTTATTAGTAATCAATATTATCTATCTATATATTCACGCTAGATTCCAAGTGGAGTAAGTACAGATAACGAAGATGACGTTAAAAAATATTACTATTTGAAAAATAAATTATCTCGGAAGAATTAGTAAGCTGTTTATTCGGGTGCAATGCGGAAGTTGTTCACTCTCAGAAGGCGACTTACATTAATATTACAAGGAATTGTAACTCTGTTTCTGTAAACAATTTATAGTGTTATCTATACTGTCACGTCATATCCCTCGCAGGGTTATTAGACAGGAACACCACACTTCACGGTCCTTTGATAGATCTTTGGTCTCCACCTATTTCAATACTCTTTCCACATATGCTCCCTGGTTTTTATTCTAACATAAACTTCCAACAGCACGCGATCGATTTTATCGTGAAAGGTGCCTTGGCCTTGCTCGGCTTCTAAATCCACTTTTACGTCATATATCAGTTTTATCATTATTTCGTCCGGCATTCTTTTCACATGTCCGAATCAACGAAGCATGTTTCTGTTGATTTTTACAGCGATAGTTTAACTCTCTTTTTTTCTCTTCATCACGAATGCGGTCTGCGAGCGTTACTCCGCAAATTCTACGTAACGAACACCTATCGGCCACAATTATTCTACTCACATACTCTTCCTGACATACCCAACTCTCGTTCCATGTATTAGCGTTGAGATCAGCATTGCATTGTATATTACGAGCTGCGCTTTTTGGCTCAAAGAAATATTGTACTAAAAAGTCCCCAAAATTTTAATATCCTGTTTCGTTCTAAAATTATTTAAAATGTCTTAATATATACCTCAAATCGAATGACCAACACTTCGTATCGCCATTGTTAGTCATATGCATAATTAAATACATATTAGCAATCAGGTTATTAGTAAGTAAATCAAGTAAATATTAATCAATAATTAGTTACGTAAAAGGTGGCAATGCAAGTTATTAATTGTCTGTAATTAAAAAAGTTCATTATTTCCACTAATATTGTTTCAAAACATGTAATGCCAGTAATTATATGATATTTTTTAAATGGACCTTTTTTACTGTTACTATTAACAGACCTGTTAAAAGTTAATTATAATAAGAAACTTGTTAAATAACTTTTAAAGCAATTCAATTTAAATTTAATAATTAGATGTTTATATTTTACCTTCGTTGATAAAGAAAACGTAGTGGAAACTTTTTAATTATTGGACATTAAAAACCCACCAATTCGAAAGTTAAATTGAAAAGAAACAAAAGTGGTCGATGAGAAAGTAGGTTTCACTCGTCAAAAATAATAATAAAATAAACTAAATAAAGCACAAACGGAACAGGCAACACGCTCCGTTTCACAGTCGGCTGATTTTTTATTTGTAATCGACATTGACATTCACCGTTTTATTTTTGCAATTTCAAAAAGCACAATCACATAGGATTTCTACGGCCTAGGATTGCGTTTGTTCTGTGTTGACACAGTGATATTAAATTTTACGCAAACAGGTCGCATATTGAAAACAAAATGGCTCAACACAAAATATGATTTTTCTTTACACTTATAAGATGTATAATTATAGAAAGATATATAAAAGTTTTTTTTTTAATAATGAGGTTTTACATTTAAAATAATATTTCTTTTTTTCTTTTAGTGGAATAAAAACAAATGTAAATATTGTTTAATTGATATGACTGCAATAAAATTTTAATTTTTAATGTAAAATTTCTTAATGTAATCTAAGCTACACGGGCTGTTACTAGACGTTTTTCTCTTTTTGACTGGCTCCTAAGTGTTGTAGGATAATTTTAATTATTATAATCTTGTAGTTCCATAAATGAAGGTACATTCGAATTAAAAATACATACAAACCTTCTGCTTAGTTACAAATTAAATATTACCTACTCATAGAATTAAACTTTTTAAGGGGTAATATACCATAAACCATAAGTAGTTTTTAGTGCATATAAAAATCTTAAGATAACATACTTCCGTTGAATCTATTGATGAAATAGTCTAATGAGTATTTCGTCAATATGAATAGTAATGAGTAATGTTATTACTATTTCTTTTTTTTTAATCTCGCTAAATCGCGTTGATTGAATACTTAGTTAAATGTTTTTATAAATGAATTTATAAATTTCAAAGAAAAGCTGTCAACCTTTTTAATGTAAATTATTTATTAGTCGCCTTATCGGATGCAAAAAAAAGTCAGTTGAATGGGGACCTCCACTTTTCTGAAATATTATAGTCTCTATTATTGTGTCTTGATGAGATTTTTAACTGATTAATTTCATACCTAATCTGAGTAAATTATAGTTTTAAGGATTTATGAAATGCATAATGCTTATCCCAGATATTCTTTGTCTTTGTAAAATTAGATCTATATTCATTCAGCATAGTTATTCGAGTAACAAACAGATTAACAAAGAAATATCCATACATTGGCGGTTATAAATCAGTAAAAAGTAAAAATATTTTGTTTTCTTTGTTTAAAAAAGAGTATGTTTTGAAATTTTATTTAATTTTAACTACTCACTATAAACTTGCTTTTATATAAATAGCCATAAATCGATATATGTTTTTGATTATGAACAGCAAGTCTTGTGATTTTATTCCATTACAATTGATCTGCTATATGTATGGATCTTATAATTTGAGTATATGAAAATATTAATTAGACTACTATCACGCATTTTTGTTTCTAATCATGTCGTGGGTCGATTTAGGGTCAACTCGGATGCATCGGTGATGCATCGTGTCGCAAGTTGCACGTTACTTTCACTTCGTTGCGTAACCGCGGCCCGCCTGTTGCGATACCCACCTCCGCTGATAGTCAACATCGTTGCTTGTGATCCCACGTTCGGTATTCAAAAAACTGGGTCAAGTTTAAGAAGTTACTTTTTTATATTTTTATCCAAAAAGTTTTATTAAAATGTAGAGAAAAAAATATTCGCAAAATGTTTCGGGAAAAGAACAATCTATTAACTCACGGATTGTTCCCAGCTCAGACGACTCCACGAAATTATACAATTTGAAATATCAAAATTTTCGTACTTAACAAGTAACAATAATTATTAATTTGAACTTTCAGCTGAGTCGGTTATAAAGTAGATTCCACTAACCAATCAAATCATTCTATGACCTTTACTCTCTCATTTGAATTGCAAAAATATCGCCATTTGGCATCAACATTCACCAACTAATAATGTTTAAGTGTTATATTAATTAGGAGATGATTAACATTTAAATAAATAGATGAAATAAGCTTTAAGATGTGCAACTTGTTGAAAGTGAAGGTTACTCCTATAAATGGTCGCAGAAATCATATTTTTGGCTATTAAGAAAGAAGAATTTATTTTCTCGCACATTTTTCGTTCAACAACTGTCATCAAACGTTGAACTGGCACATAATAACATCCTCTGAAGTCGAACCGACATGCAAATGCATGTCAGCGGTACACACTATCGACGTTCACTTTTATGTAATATGCTGTTGTGTAAGAAAGAAAAAAACATGATTCGCCCTCCTCGCAGATTCGAACACTCAGGCCTATATACCAAAATGACGTTCATATTTTTTCTGAAAAAAAATATCGTATTGATCTTAATTTAAGTTATATTGTATTGTATCATTTCTTAATAATAAACGACAGAAAATACTTATAACTAATTAAAATTATAATACTCTTAACGATTATTTAGTTCGAGATCAAAATAATAACATGGCATGAATGTTGAAAACTGAAATTGAAAACGAAAAATGGAACGTGTAAAACGGCTGTAGCGAAAACTGATTGTTTAACATTAATGCAGATTTTTCAAATAATGTTATCTTAATTTCAATCGCAATACCGTATAAAATTGACCCAATGTTATTTAAAAATAAATATCAGTTTATATAATCAATATGTATGTAGATATATTATATATTACTTACATAAGTTTCCTAACTTTCAGTTTCAAAACATGGCTCAACTGTTATAATTATATAAAAGTCAAGTACAAAAAATAGATACATGTATCCGAGAACACTTTAGCTCATAAGAGCTTTTATTATAAAATCAAAACGTAACTGAACATAAAATAAAAAAAAACTAACAGCTTAACATTGCTTGGCTAATGAGTGAAATAAATCTTACGTATGTAAGAAAATATTCGTTTAATATGGCTGAAGTTGAATTCGGATGCATTTAGAATAGGGATGATGATTAATTTTTGTTTGTTTGTCCGTCAGGTAGAGTCTTCAAAAAATATTAAACACGTATTTTTTATTTTTTTCGTAATCATAAAATTACGGCGTTACATGGAGTTGAAATTTCGCATGAGGTCACGTTAGGGTACGTTTTCTACTGAACTGTGACGTAGCGAGCCCCCACTCCTCAACTTTAATGCCTGTTATCTAGGCTATTTCTTGTTAAATTGAAGTAAAAAAAAAATACGTATCTAATATTTTTCTATTACCTGACTGACGGACTAAATAGACATGCATTTTTTTTACCCAGTCATCATCCCTATTCTCATTTATTTCTCAATTTCCTTTTCTAGGCGCTCAATTCAAATGCCCCAATAAGGATGGACAGTACGAGGACGATAGACAGTGCGACAAGTTCTACGAGTGCGTAGATGGCGTCGCTACACAGAAACTCTGCCCCGACGGCTTGGTATTTGACCCCCTCATTAGGAAGATCAACAAGTGCGACCAACCCTTCAACGTTGACTGCGGCGACAGAACCGAACTGCGTAAGTATTTTATCCTGGAACATACAGTAAATAATATCCAAGTAACTGGATAAAATTTTCATTTTAATACATTCAAAGATTGCCTTGAAGCTAACGAAGGAAGCCAAGTCTTCTTATGATCCTCAAGTCCTAAATAATAATAGTTTGTACACTTATGACATGTGTTGTTCATATTTTAACATTGATTTTCAGCTTTATTGATGTCTATCACTAACTATAAATTTTGTCTTATTTTTTTCTAATATCTTAAGATCTTTAATAATATACTATTTTATATATTAGATTGCTAACTGACAATCTGACAAATAAAATTCTTTCAAATCACGTAATAGTAACTACTAGTAAGTTGAATCAAGATCAATTACAACCGGAGTGATTTAAGGTCGTTTGTCCCTATAAGTGAACGTGTCCTGTATACCTTTGACCACACAGGTCGATATCGGTGATCGCCTTTCTAGGTCAACTAGTGTTCGGTGCGAACAGCCTATACTTTTAATACATACCACTTTTGAACACATTCACTTCTTGTTAAATGTTATACGTTTTGTTAAACTATTGAGGCAGAGCACGTTTTAAAACTCAGACGAATGTTTAAATTGTGGAATGCATCGTTCTCAAGAATTCGTGACTGGAGTTTAGAGTGGCGTTCATTTACTTTTTGTGCTTTGACTAATGCGTTAGTTGTGATAGTGTAAAATTCATTTAGCTATTGCAAAAGCACACTAAGTTGTTTTTGGTGACTGTAAAGAAACCATAGCAGTATTAAAAGTATCATATCACGATTGTATCATTATTCTAGTTTAAAAAAGTTTCCCCTCTCAGGTAAAAACTTACAACTGGCAACTTTCGTATTCCAAGGCGATTTGGCCGCAAACGATAAGGCCTTTAAATAGAAATATGTACTTTCAGATATACTTGTTAAACGGTGAGAGAGGAGAACAAATCTGCTTCCCGTTCGGTCGCTGTTTCCTAGAATGAACGACCTCAGTTCTTATCAAGGCTGTCTGCATACTTGTCAATACATCATTTTTCACTAACTGTATGCAGTTACTGTCGATCTTATTCAATTTATTAAGAATATTCATACGGATAGATTTCATATTCTGTGTACACAAACGGGTTTGCGAGGATGACTAGAATAAATATTTGCTTTAAATCGAGCAGTTAAAATGTTATACAAGTTCAAGGTGAACAAGGTTCTAAAATCTAACTTTTCCCTTCGCCTGTCGAAATATTAAAATTTAACCAAAATTATTTTTGTGAATATTTGTCTTAAATTATATAATGGCAATGTATTTCTGTTCTATTTAACTTTGCCTCGTCTCTAAATATGGCATGTTTAAATCTTTGTCCGTCTAAGTAGAAAACAAATAGTACCATTATCTGACCAAAATAAGTCAACATGCTTCGATATGGCGTTTTCTCTTTTGCCATTGACAATTTTCTTTAAGCGGATAGGATCAAACTAAATACTATCTTTAGCTCTCGTTTAATAGTAAAAGGGAATAAGTTTTAATGGATGTGTCATATTCTTTAGAGATGAAAACACAACCAAAGAATGAATTTAACAATTATTCTTTATTTCACAGAACCCCCTAAGCCAAATCACCAGTGCCCACGTCGCAACGGTTTCTTCGCTCATCCTGACGCTGCTGTCTGCAATGTTTTCTATAACTGCATCGAAGGCGAAGCCACAGAAGTCAAGTGTACCGCTGGTCTCCACTTCGACGAGTACTCTGGCACCTGCGTGTGGCCCGATGCGGCCGGCAGACAGGGATGCAATACTCAAGAGAGTGAGTTATCTGTTATGTAATTTTAAGTATTTTTACTTATACAACTTGAGTTAATTACGGTTATATTACAATAAAATTATCTCAAATTAGCGTGAATGCTGACACTTTATAAATGGTGGGAGCCTCGAACTAGCCAAGAAGCATTAATGCTAGCAAGGGTTTGTAGTCTGCCGTATTTTATTGATAATGTATTTGAACTATACAATATGATTAGATAAACGCGGATATTTTTGAATAATAAGCACGTAGATTATATTTACTGTCACAATTATCTTAGTTCAATGATACAATGAAAGAAAATAATATCCTACTATAGAGTCTGAGCGATAGATATGCGTATCTGTCAGTGTTTTACTACACTGATGTTGTGTATTACATGGGAAAGTCCATTAAATATATTTCATGTAAAATCGATTATTTAAATTGTTTTTCTCTGCAGAGAAACTGAAGGACGGTTTCGAGTGTCCCAAAGAGCAGCAAGTCGACGCATCAGGTTTGCCCGTAGCCCACCCCAAGTTCCCACACCCCAATGACTGCCAGCGGTTCTACGTGTGCCTCAACGGAGTGGAGCCACGTGATCTCGGCTGCCAAGTTGGCGAAGTTTACAACGAGGAGACACAGAAATGTGACGCGCCTGAGAACGTGCGCGGATGGTGAGTGAACTTCAATATTATTATATACTTTTGTACACCTAAAGATTTTTCGACACTAATATTATGAAGAGGAAAGATCTGTTTGTTGAAGAAGAGGAAAGCATAGAATGAGCTCCGTAACTAATGGACCGATTTAAAAATTCTTTCACCTACGGGAAGCATAACCTATCTTACGTGGGTGACGTAACCTATATATTAAAGCAGGGCAATTCGCGGGAGAGCTCCTAGTAAGATATAAAAATTGGTGGATATTAATAATAGCGATCGAATCACGTTCGATATGAGTTTAAGACTTTCGAAAGAATTTTCAAAATTTTGAAATTAACACCTACTTTTTTAAAATTGAATATGAATGAAAGACTGATGAATCTACTCTAACGTAATATTTAAAATATTGTGCCGCACTTCACGGTGAATTTAGGATAACAGATTCGTAGTGTTGTCCAAACTCATATTCTGGATTAGATAACCGAAATTGAAATATCTGCAGATAGTGTTAACACCCGCCTTGTACAAGATTTCCATAATACAAAATAGAAACTGTGATCGGAACAATTTATGTGATTTTATCATCATAACTCCTATCACTATACCTCCTTTCTAGTCATCGATCTGATAGACGGATTCTACCGATATTGCTTAATATCCGTATTCATAAACTGACGTTGAAATACTGAAATATATTGCTTAATAGCATTGTTATAAAGGTCAATGATAACCAACAAAAAAAAATCTCCTTGAAATATTTTGTCAAATGTTTTTCTTTTTATTTACAGTGAGGATTGGTATAAGGACGCTGAAGATGCACCAGCACCGAAGGCGAGATCTTAAGCATCAGTAGTGATACATTTAAAATAGTGTACTCATAAGACTTATAAGTTAATACATAAGTTAAACAATTACTATACTCTTTTATTTAAGACCCTTTTTATAATATAAATACAGGCGCAATAGCTTCAGGCTTCAGGTACTACATTATACAAAAATGTATATAAAAGAAGTGCAGTTTCAGTGATTTATCCAAAAATTGTAGGGTTCCATAGGATAAATTCTCTTGTATCGTAATGTAGAAAATTTGCCCACTGCAATCAATAAAATATGTGAAACTAATGTACCTAATTAATATCATTTATACCATATTCTGACAAATAAATTATTATTATTATTATTATAGTAATAAAAATAATATTAAATAAAAAACGGGAGCCTATTATTAAGACTCACCTGTCTGTCTGTCTGTTGTAAGGCTGTATTTCGTGAACTAGACAGTTGAGGTTTTGCAGATGAATTACTTTTACGTTTAATATAGTTACCTACACAAAACCTTTGAATTTGAATGATTTAATTATTTTCTAATTTTTCATAGAACTCAATTCTAATTTCAGTTTAGAAATTATCTGCTTATATTTTGGCAGAATTTATAGTTGTTATGTCAACTAAGAACAAATTGCATAGGTTATAGTCCAACCATATTTTTTTTCAATAATTATATTATTAAAAAAAAATACGTCGAGCAAATAAACAAAATCTCCTCTAATTAATGTTTAAAGTGTTATCTTTTATATAAAAAAAATCAATATCAACAAAAAAATCATGAAATAAAACCTTTTTATAAAAATAAAACCGACTTCTAACTTTAAAAAAATCATAAATAATACTTATCTCAAAAGCGATTTAATAATAATAAAATACTTTTGAAGCCGGACATCTATCCTTAAATTAATAACCTACAGAAGACGGTTCTATTTTTTGAAAAAAAGTTTTAATACTTGTAAGCCCAGAAATGACAAAATTCATATATCAACTTGACCCCTGTAATATTAATGATAAAATCGTTTTTGCGGAAATACGGTTACATAAATTATTAAGCCCAGCATATTTTATCGTCAAGACGACGTGCAAATATTACAATTCATACATGCCCTAATTTGATAAAAAGTCTATTAAATCAATTAATAATTATTATTATTTCACCCCTTAGGGGTTGAATTTCTTGGTGCCCACTTACATCATCAGTGCCCCTGTACTGAATTAAAAGTTTTTAGGTACAGTAGTTTCGTCAGGTTTGCCCAACTTTAAGTTGTTAGGTAGTGGTCCGCGAGCTTCAAGCTTGCTTCCATCCCGCCGACGGCGAGCCGCCCACCAAAGGTGCGAACGCCTAACCTCCCGGGCGACGGGTGGTTAACGCGCGCGCGCTTACTTTTAGTGATAATTTACATTCGAAACAATGACGTACTGTTACTGAGTCGTTAAAATGTGCTATGACCTTTAAGCGGCGCTTAGTGATGAAGAGAAAACGAGACGAAATAAATAAGTTTGTTTATGAGGCAGTAACGTGAGGCCCTCGTATTATAGAGAGTCAAAAACCATTTTTGATGTATTACTCGCATATCTTTAAAACAATTTAACAAAAAAATACCTGTATCTATATTCGAGTAAAAGTTTAGGAAATATTTAGAAGGTATTGCATTGCACCTATATTTATATTTTTGTTACGTAAGACGTGATTTTGTTTCATTTCTAGTTCAGTTAGTGTCTCCATAAAGCACGTCTTTTACAGTGTTCCCGTTAATAACTTTCAAATAGTATCTTAGACATGAAAACCAATGTCACTGACATTGCTTGAAGGATTGCTTAGGTGAAATGGCAGTGGGCGGGACATAGGAACAGGGCAAGGTTGCAACCGCCTAACTCTCTAGCCATGAAACTAGTCATATTTCGTTTCATTTAACTACTTAGATATGTACTTTTAGTAACTACGAACGAATGATTATTTTGAATTTGATAGCAACGTTACCATCTTAGTAATTTATCCCAAATTTATACACCAAATGACATGTCAAAGTAGTAACATGTAACGACATATCGTCTTAATATCGCTAAGATGTCGTATCCTATGGCTAGAATAGAGGCTAGAGAGTAATGCGGTCTCAATGTGTACACTCGTGCCTATAGTCGAGAGAAGAAATAACCTGAGAAAATGTCATTACTTGAACAAATATATTTAACCAATATATGAGAATGTAAATGAAGTAAGTACTTAATATCTAATAAGACTATTTACAGCTCTTACTTCATGACACAATTTCAAGCAATTACTTCTCTCGACTAAAGATATGAAGGTTAGTGTTAGTGGGAAGCCCAGGAGGAAGGCCCGGCCGGCACTCTCGAAATGGAAGGTATGAAACGCATCCCTCCCTTCTGCGGATCGACAGATGAGTGCTGACACTCCTGGGACCCCCCTGGGATTAGCCACACGGATGATCTACCGTCTGGTTAAAGGCTGTTATTCACCCAAGTCTTGAGAGGAGGTAACTCCTCCTCAATTGATGTTTGTTAGTTCGAGCCGCCGATAAAAACTATAAAAACTCCTTTTTGATCACGGAATCCTAAAAATACAATTGCGACATCGATAGATGTGAGACTGATCAACATGCATTTGTGTCAGGAACAATAAAGGCTTTCAAAAATGTGTTCCCACGTGCAAAGCTTTGTCGGATTGACATTTGCTTAACCTTTACTAGGATATTCAACTATCCTTGCATGTTATTTAGTCATCGTTCTGTGAAGATCTATAAAATATTATAGGTCAAAGTTCAAAAATATATTATGTAATTATTATAACACGTAACGTCAAAAGTTGAAAATGTATTGGACTTAAGTAGATGTTATTTTATATCTTATTAAAAATCGCCAAATGGGTAATTTATTAAAGTATTTAAAATGAATTATGTATTAAAATGTATTATATATTTTACTTTTAACTATATTTCAAATTGTCACTGTTTGTTTACTCTAATAAATGAGAAAAAAAAATAGTCGGGATAACATTATGCGATATTGAATGGAAAAAAAGTACATAATACAAATTAAAAATTCAATAGAAAAAATCAAAATGATCTCGCGTGCTCAAAAAAATCAGTAATGATTTAGAATGAAATTTGAATGAAAAACGAGAATTATCTAAATTGTTAGTCGACTTTACTCAACCAAGAAAGTTCTATATCTATCTATCTATCATCTTCACAACAGACGTCCGTTTCATCACCAATTCTTTAAAAATCTAATCAAAGAGAAACTCTTCGGCAACCCGTTTTGTATTGAATCAAAAAGTGCATGTATATATTAGTATTTCTTGTTACGTGGTGTCAATTTATTTTGAAATCACAGGCTTTTGTTGTCTTTCTTTATATTTCACCTATCAAAATGTAACAGTTTGATAGGTTAACATTTATATCTATTTAGTACATATCTCTCAATGCATATAACAATTAGTCCGCTTGTTAAATTTTGAAAGTAATATTTTTTACAACCGCTTTCAAAGGTCGTCGACCTACAAATTGTGGTCTGGTCCAATCAAGATTTAAGCATTTTCATTAAGCTGGCCTCTAAAACACTTACCTTGCTAACTGGAAGACCTCTGTCTCTATTTACTATTTTTAACGGGTGTTGATTTAGTTCTTTTTTCGAACTGTTTGTTGGGAACTGGCCGGTTAGATATTACATCTTTTTGGAAATATATACTCTTTGGTTTCTTTTTCGGGGTTTTATGCTATCAGCGTTGTTTTCTTTGGTATTTCTTAATTTATTTACAGTTTTTAATTGAAAATAGATATGTATAAATATTAATCAAAGTTTTTTTTTATTCTGTGATATTAATTTTACTCCAAACACTTCAACTCGTTGGCTTTGTCTATCTTAATCGGATTAATTTAAGTTAGAGTGCAAAGTTACAGTTAAATGTTTTTTTAAAATAATTTAAATATTATTTTTAAAACTTTACTCTGAAACGTTCATTTCTTCTTGCTTAGCTTTCTTTTTGTATAGGATGAAATTTCAAGATACAGATAGATAAAAACTTTTTCATAGGAGCCCAATGTCGAAGCATTATTATGAAATATCGCTAAGCAGATGTTTTCGGATTGATGATTATAATTATTTATCACAAGCTTCTTTGTGCTTCGGGCAACCCTAAGCCATTAATCGTAGCTGCAGCTAAAATTGGTGATACTCACCAAGCCGTCCATCTGCCACACTCGTACCTAAATATATTATTGCCTTAATTGTCTAATTTACAATATATCATAATTACTTTCAAACTTATATTGACTTAGATAGGAATTTATGAAATTGTGTAATTTTTAAAGTCACAATCGCTTTTGGAACAAGTGATGTCTTGAATGATATGAATGTCATAGACAATATATTTCCCAATAGCTTTCAAATCTATTTGTAACTGCAATTTTTGTCGTTGTCTCAAAATGTCATCATAATCAGCCCTTTTACGTCCCCACTGCAGGGGCTCAGGCCTTCCTTATGGATGGTTAAGGAGGATGGGCCATGACCCTCCACGCTGACCCAAATGCGGATTGGAGGGTATTAACGACTGCAAAATGCAGCCGGGACCAACGGCTTAACGTGCCTTCCGAAACACGAAGTAGCTCGAGATAATAATTTTTTGGTCACCCATCCCGTGACCGACCCTTGGGAAAGTTGCTTAACAACAACGATCGCGGGCCGCGGCGCTTATCCTCTACGCCACCGAACTACATTGTTTTGTGTCTCAAAATGTATAATAGTAAATTTTTCAATATTTACATGTTTTGTAATACATAAACTAGCATTAAATCTAAAATCTTTAATATGTTACAATGATCAACTTTTAATCTTAGTTATCCTAACTATACTTAACATAACCTATTGAAATATTGTAAAACTATAAAATGTTTATAAGCTGTTATTTACTTTGTAACTAATGTTGTTCTTTTTGTATTAAGTAATGGGTACTCGTTGTCTACAGTAATTAAAAAACATTTCAATGTTAAAGATATTACTTTAACATTGAAATGTTTTTTAATTACTGTTTGTGGCAAAATAAAGTGAAAAAAAAAACAACTTTACTACCACTTT